CCACTGCACTCCAGTCTGGGTGACAGAGTGAGACTCTGACTCAAAAAAAAAAAAAGAAAGGAAAAGAAAAAAATATCTTTAGTACTTAGTAAAAAAAGGACAGCTAGACTGGCTGTGGTGGCTCACGCCTGTAATCCCAGCACCTTGGGAGGACAAGACGGGAGAACTGTTTGAGTCCAGGAGTTCAAGACCTGCCTAGGCAACTTAGTGAAACCCCATCTCTACCAAGAATGGAAAAATTAGCCAAGTGTTATGGTACACATCTGTAGTGACAGCTACTTGAGAGACTGAGGCAGGAGGATTGCTTGAGCCCAGGAGGTCAAGACTGTAGTGAGCTGTGATTGTACAACTACACTTCAGCCTGGGCGACAGAGTGAAACACTGACTCAAGGGGGAAAAAAAAGGGCAACTGGTATTTTTTTTTTTTTGAATCAGATTCTTACTCTGTTGCCCAGGCTGGAGTGCAGTGGCACGCTCACGGCCACTGCAGTCTCAACCTGCTGGACTCAGGCAATCCTTCTGCCTCAGCCTTCCAAGTAGCTGGAACTACAGGCATGAACCACCTTGCCTGGCTAATTTTTCTTGATTTATTGTAGAGACGAGGTCTCACCAAGTTGTCCAGGCTGGTCTCAAATTCCTGGGCTCAGGTAATCCTCTCGCCTCAGCCTCCCAAAGTGCTGGGATTGCAGTCGTTAGCCACCACACCCGACCTGGTATTTTATTTTTAAAACTTCCCCAAGTCATCTATTTCATTTCTATTATGTGTTTCTAGACAGTACACTTTTCTAGGAAAGGTTTTAAACTTTTTCAACCTTTCACTAAGTGAAATCAGTCCAGGTCAGACCACATGTGGAGTGTTGTGATTTAACAGGAATGCTGAAGAACTCAAATTCATGGAGAAAGAACATTGTTGGGAGGGTGAAAGATCTAGAAGACAGGTTCTATGGGATATGGATTAAACAAAGAGAAATATTGAGCTTGAAAAAGAGAATGTAGAAGATTCCACGTTGTCCCAATTTGCCAATTCCTCTAATATAATTATATTTCCAACACTTGCATGGCCTTGTTGTGGC